CGACGCTCTCATGGAGGAAGGAGTCGCCGGTTTCGAACTCGATGCCCCTCCTTCACCTTGGAGCTGGATATGACCAATGGGTTTCGCTGACAACATGCATTAGCGGTACTGGGGTCGACAATTTTGGAAGCTTACTATGGAAGACGAGACAATTAAAAATAGCAGTGTGGAGGAGGAAGAGAGCCGCCCAAAGCAACAACATAGAAGAGAGTAAGAAGAGTGCCACTCCCTTCTCGCACGGAGGATGACAAGAAGGGAGTGTGACGGTTTTAGGAGGAGAATCGGTGGCTAGGATATGAAATTAGGATTTTATATCATGTTGAAATTCAGAATAATGCGGAATAAAGCTGGATTGTTTCATTGATATAAGAGGGAGTATAAATAACCCTTATATGAATATTAGAATACGAAAGATAATAAAAAAGAAGTAATATGAAAAGAAATATATATAAGCTAATATCTCCAATTAATCAATTCATATTAATTATTCGAAGATAAAGGAAATAACATAAAATAAGAAAGCTTAAAATAGTAAAGGAAATAAGTCTTAATCCAAGAAAAAAATATAAAATAGGAAAGAAAATAATTCCTAATCTAGGGAAATAATTTATTTCTTATAACATACATGTGTAAATTATTTTTTAGTATAACTTCTAACAAAAATAATTTAGTATATTTTTTAATTTTTAATTTTCCTGTTGCACAATATATTATATGGATATCAATATAGAACCTAAAATTTAAATATAAAAATATTATTATTTAATTATTTAATTATTTCAAGCCAAAATGAGCCAAACACGAACGAACAAAACTTTGTTCGTGTTCAACTTGTTTAGAAATGGAGCTAAAAAAAATTGTTTGTATTCGACTTACTTGCTTAACATACAAATAGAACACGAGCTAAGTAAAGAGCCGAAAATGAGCTCTTTGCGAATAACAATGTTTTCTGACAGCCCTAAACATGAGCGATTGTCCCACACAAACTTCTTAATGGTTTTGTTGTGTGACTAGTGGACGAGCTCCCCGAGCAACGAATGAGAGGAGCAAATGCAAGTAGATGATGTATTGAGCTAGTGGAGCAAACCGTGGAAGCTATTGAGTTGGATAAGAGCTGAACTTAGTGTGAGCAAGAATGATAAATGTTGGCTAACAACTTGGACTTCTTTTGAGATTGAGTTAAGGTAATCTTAAAATTTCATTTCCTTTCTTTTCTTTAAAGCATGATTATAACCTAGAACTAAATTGTATTCAATGAGATTTATGTTTTGTTTTTTTGTTTGTCAATGAAGTTTATATAAGATTTTATTCTATATGTAATAAGATTATAAAATAATAAAGATTAGATTTTAAGTTATAAAATTAAAACAAATTTATTTTACAATTTTGATAAATAAAAGATATAAAATTTTGACATAAACATTATTTTTATGAAATTTAAACATTATAATTAAAAATAATTAAAATAAAAATAGAATGTAATTCCAAAGTCAAATTAATAGAAAACAATGTTAAACTTGTGCAAATTTTATGTTGAGATTGTAAGCAATGATTGGTGATGCATTCAATAGAGATAAATTATTATATATATATTTTTTAATTTTATTAATTTTTTCAATAGAGAGAAATTAATTGAAACTCTTATATGGCAAGGCATTGTTTGTAAATGATATCAAGCTATATTTGATGAAATTAATTATAAATTAAATTAAATTAAAGTACAAGGATAAAATAAAGAAAAATAATAGTATAATATTAATAATTTACAATCATTTAAGCTAATCGATAAATAATAGTAATAGTTCATAAATTTCATCAATGACAAAAATTAGTTAAGCTTATCCACTTAGATGAAACAAAAGTGTTATTAAACAATAAGGTCAATCTAAAGATTAAATTGACATGAATATTTTTTGTGTATGATTATAGTTGCTCAATTAAAAGTCGTTGAGTAGGAAAGTCAAATGATTATCATTAATGATCAAGGTGAATACTCTTATTTTTAAATTATATCAATATTTTTGTCTTTTAAACCAATTGCATAGATGATTATTAATACTTGTTCAATTAAATTATAAGATTTTATTTTGTTTCATATATTCTTTACTAATTTTGATCATATTGATAAAAATCTTATTTTTATCAATTATTTATAAGATATATTTTTTATATATACTTATAAAAATGTGAATGATACAAATTATATATAATGCTTGCATATGCATCTTTCCTGAAGGAGTTCACTCTCTTATAGTATTAGCTGGGGATATTAAAGTACTGTTTGATATTCATGTACTTTAATTTATGCAATTTAGACAGTGCTTCTATAATGTATGTGTGTGTGTGTGTCTATAGTACATCATAATGAATGTTTCAAACATACTCAAATGATCATATTTGAATGATAAACTATCAAATATTTTTGCACTGATTTATTGCCTTTGACTATTATGAATGCTTTCTTTTGTTATGTTACTGTAGTTTAAAGATAAGCGTGTCCACCTAGTTATTAGTAACTCATGAAAATTTTAAGTAATATTTTACACCAATTTATTTTTTACTCTTTTTTTTCATTATTTTATTGTATTTTAGAGGCATATTCTCCGACTTGTTGATAATTCTCGAAAATCTTAACTAATATTTTCAGGTTCAAGATTTGAGATAGAAAATGAGCACTAGAAGAGAATGTTTATAAAAGACAATCAATTTAGAGAGAATTTTATACGTAACTATATTACTTTAAAGTTGAAATAATGGCTGCTCTTTCGATTCTTAGAATAATTGTTGTTCATTGTTTAGTATATGGATTGAAATTATTTTCAGCTATATGCCCAGCTATGACACCTATTGAATGCCTTCAGAAATACTGATGATTGATATTGGTTATATTTAAAAGAAAAATAGAATAGTGGGTTGAAATTCATGAAGTCATGCATGAGAAACCCATTTCAATCCATATAATGAATGGTTTAGTTTGTAGAAGAAGAAGGCAAAATCACTAGAGGTGAAGAGTCATAAATTTTTTTTGTTGAGATTACTATGAAAAAAAGTATTTTTAATATTCATTTAATGAAGTAGTTGTCATTGTGAAGCGGGAATTGAGATAATCATTTTCAATGTATTGGTTTTATAATAGGGAAAGTTTCTTGATATTTAATCCTATATTCCTGTTTGTTACCTCGCACAACCAAATGTGCCTTGTTGCAATCTAGTGTGCCATCATAACAAGTTTTGATCGAGTAAAACGGAGTGCATCTTATGGCTTTAAATTTGAAGGAGCCTGCCCCTAGATGATCTTTTAGAGTCTCTCATCCCCTAAATTAATATGGCTTTCACACTATATTGGCTTCAATCCCCATTCCTTTATGCTAATCAGAGGCCAGTAATTATACTTTGATTTATTTTCTTTCTTCAAAAGTTTGAAGTATTCCCTTTTATTTTAAGAATTTCTTACTTATGTTTAAACTTTGCTATCATCCAACATAAAAATACTTACTTTTGATTCTATAGGTGAGCATATGTTGCTTGAATTTTCTGCTATAAAATAAAGGAATAATTTTTCACAAGTCATGATTCTATAAACATAAATAAAACGGTCTCTCTTTCTACCTTGTATTGACTGAAGACATATTTTGTTTTTCTCATTTGCTTTTGGTCTCGGATGCAGGGCTTGACAGTAGTCAACATTTCTGCAACAACATTTCCTCAGACATTGGATCGTCTGCACAATTATCTTCTCGAGGTTAGAAAGAGTTTTGAATAAATAGGCCGGATATTTTCTTATTCTGTTTTCATTTAATTTTACTTGCTTGATTAATCTGTCTGTCTCTTCTCAAACATGTCTTTCTCTCTGGGTTTTGTGCATGCTCTTTCTCCCTCCCTCTCGCGGTATTATATAAAGCTCTTACTCGACACCTTTTGGTATAATAAAGGTCTATCGAAGGTTCGTGTAAGTGAATCTAAAAGTTACTTTCGAACTACACCACACCCCTCCATGTCTACATCTTCCACCCTCCGTCACCAAAATCGTGCTATCCCGCGCGCGCTCAAACCCTAATCCAAACTATCATCTTAGGCTCGAGATTTCAATGGTTTTCGTACAACTCTGCTGTCTTGATTGATTTCCTTCTCAAATCAACTCTAAATTTAATCAAATTTGGAGTTCTTCCCCACATCATGATCTACCATTCCTCCAAATTTCATGGCCAATAAAACATTTGCTTTCAATATTATGAGAATTTGTCTGTTTTCTATCCATCTTTTTGACTAATTTGTGCTAATAAAGTTCTTTGGCTCTGACTGCAGTGCATTGAGCGTGGTGTTTCTGCTGCATCTTCCACTTCTCAAATCCAATCTGAAGAAACTAAATGCCCTCCTCCCAAGTAAAAGAACCTGTTTTTGTCTGTTGTTTCTTATAATCCATATTTTATAAGTGCTATGAGTTAGCAGCATTTTAGCATAAAAAAAATTGAGTAAAATATATAAATAATGTAAAATGTAATGTAAATTTGTAAAGTTAATTAGCTTTTTGGTGCCTTATGATTGCATTTTTGTACTTCTATACCACAATTCTTATAAATTTACATTTCGAACTCGTAAACTTTCATATTTACATATATAACACTCAAATTTTTGGTATTATCATTACTAACTGGTTTGTCATTCACATGTTTTTAATATCAATGTATTTGTAAATGTAAATATTAAATATTACGTGTTAGATGTGTTAAATGCATAAGAATTTGTGTGATGCTTAAATTTCTTTAAAATAAAATAATTTAAAAATAATTACTTTGTATAATTGGTATTTTAAAACGTTCTTTATTTAATGCCTTTGTACTATTATTAGCTCATTATAATTGTTTTAAAAATATTTGTTAGGCTCGATTGGGGGTGCAAGAGAGTTGAGCTTGAGCGAGCCCATTTGCGTCCAGTTTGTTAAAAATATTGTTGTTCGTGTTCGGCTTATTAATATATTGATTGTGAAAAATTTATTCATAATCTGCTCGTTTGCTTGGTATTTGCTCACAAGCTATTCATGAATTAGTCGTTTTGATATTATCAGTCACGCAGTCATAAGATGTTAAGTGTAGGGGTGGGATTTAAATATTATATTGTTTATATTAAAACAACATTTGAATCTAATTTAATATATTTTTATTCTATTTTTTAATTAAAAATTTAATTGATTATAATTTTTCTAGCCTTTTAGTCAATTAAACTATTGAAAAATAATATTCATTATATATAATATGTGTGTATATGTATGTATGTATGTATGTGTGTATGTGTGTGTGTGTATGTATATATATATTCTTTAAGTGCGAATGACCTGACTCATTGGTGCGGCTTCTGGCGTAAGTCCCTCGGGTCGGGGGTTCGAATCTCATGGTGCTGGCTATTTGAATTAGAAGCAAGCACACCCGGGCTTTCAACCCTTTGGGGGAATCCATATTTGGTGCCCGTTAGACCAAATTTCGATTTCACTTTTTTGTTATTCCTTAACTCATTGAATAAAGAGGTGGTGGGTATTAATTAAGGTTTTTATTAGTATTAATAAATAAAAAAATGTACAAATTATTTACTTAGATATTGGTAGCAAAATTAATTTAGTGAACGTTGAGAGAACTTTATTAAACATATTAATACAATTTTTACTAAAAATTTAAATTTTTAACATAATAATAGTTGCTAGTATTGTGAATTTAGGGGTGAATTTATGTTTATGACCTTGTTTTCTATTTAAGAAGTTCATAACATGTCTAAATAACTTTATAAGTTTAATATGTGCATTTATGATCAAATTCTAATCTTTAGATTTTAGGATTTTTTTGTTGGTCTCTATATTGTCTTAAATTTAATAAGCTTCTAATTATTATAGGAAAGGGGCATTGCACCCAACACTTATTTATGCCACTAGGCCATAACCAAAACACTTGGGCATCTTTTGCATGAAAAAAAATGAAAAGCATTTCATAAATATCTGAAAATTCTAAATTTAAGAGGGAACTTCTAGGTCTAATGAATCGAACCCAATTGTCACACACCTAAAGCCTGATTGCAAGCAAATTATACTCGCCAACCATGTCCATCGAAGTTACAGCTATGGGACCTGCCTGTCTGAAGAACTTGGCTAGTTCCTCCATCGAGCTTGTCGGTATTCATGTGAGTTCTCCCGTTGAGCTCGTTTGCATTTATTAAGCTACACTGACAAGTTCGCCGAACAATCACTCAAGGTTGTCTGGAGCGCAGGAGGAAGAAAACTCCAACCTATAACTATCCATGCTCATTCTTGAGCCATCTTACACCAAAGAAGATAGAATCTCAACATGCCTTGTACATCCATCTTAAGTTTAATATTTTTCTGTTTTTTTCTCTTTTTTTGTAGCCCTGCAAGGACATAAAGTGTGGCGAGGTGACAAAAACAAGTAGGAGGAGATAACTTAAATTCTCTACTCATTTCCACATACTTCACTCACCTCACGAAGTCTCTCAAAGATTATACGAACTCATAAAACTATAAGGAATCCCACATCCTAAAAACACCCAACAAAATCAAATACAAATATATATACATTGAGATATTGGATTACCAAACATAATTACACAATAGCTTAATTATATATTACAACGCACATTTTATTCTTAATCTGTAAAATATATATTGAAAAAGAGTGGTCGTAGCCTATTATACGATCCCCGACTATACCTCATGCGTCTAAGAATTCGAGTACCATATGCATATACAGTTTTGGATAAATTGACGAAATGCGTGAACCAAACGGTATGGCGGCGTTTATGACGGTGTTTTGAAAATACCGCCCACACTTATAAGCTGTCCCAAACAGACCCTAAATCTCTTGTTAATCTTCAACTTTTTTTTCTATCATTTTTCTGTCATTCTTCACCATTTCAATTAAGTTATGTCATATTTATTTGTTGTATATGTTATTTAGTTATTATATTTTTAATCAGATATATGCCTCTTAGATATATCAAGAGAAATATAATGGTATTTAGTTTAAAATTATATTAGAATGGTCTTAAAAATATTAAATTTATTTGAGAAATATCATGCAACACAATTTTTGACACCGCGTAAACTATATAACTATCTTTATACTTTTAAAAGTAAAATACATATTTTCATATATAAATTTTTAATATCTCAAAGTGTTATAAATATAATTATCGAACCTTTTTTTGTGTTAGATATGAAAAAACATGAATTTTATGGTATGTAAATAAATTATTGCACGTTATATATTCTTTAAGTGTGAATGACTTGACTTATTGGTGCGGTCTCTGACGTAAGTCCTTCGGGCCGGGGGTTCGAATCCCGTGGTGCGTGCTCTTCGAATCAGAAGCAAGCACACCAGAGTCTTCAACCCTTTGGGGGAATCAATATTTGGTGCCCACTGAACCAAATTCGATTTCACCTTTTGAAAAAAAAAGTTATATATA